CTTCTAGATAAGAAACCAATTCAGCCAAAGCAAGTCCACGGAGGATATTCTCAGGAGTATCAGTTTGTTCACAATAAGAATTATTTACACTATTGGCCCTTTTGTATAAAGAGGCTAGACATTTTGAATGATATACAGCATCTTGAGCTATCATATCCCCATTGCTAAGTTTTGATAAARGCTTGTTATCCTGAAGAAGTGAAGCGCACTATACATTACAAGCATATGCATGCATTTATACATTCGACTGAAGTAGCCATACCTTTTGACAGACAATGCATTTCGTCCAATCTATACTGTCTACTGTTGCCTCACACATCCATCAAAAGTTAGCTAAATCTTAGGAGCACTGACTAATTGACAGTTGACAAATCTTATCTGAAACAAAACACAAGCTTGAACAAACATTTCTTCGATAACTCTACATTTGGTTCGATGGAAGTTTAATACCATTTTCTATAAATTTCACCAACTTTTTTAAGTTAAATGATGAAGAATTAATGTTATGTTAAGTAACAAAACGTTTTGTGAAAACATTTTGAGGCAAAAAGGTCAAAAAGAACTAAATTATGCATTCCAATACTAACCTTCCTGCCAGTGCATCCGCCATCTTGGATTCTATAGGTTTGCAAAGAACTCTGGGAAATAAGTTCTGAAACTTCTTTATTTTGCCCAGCTTTTGGGAGAAAAAAATTTGTTTTGAAGAAATCCATTCTTTTKTGTGTTATTTTAGAGAAAAAGACACTATGATGGGTTTGGTTTTATTTTTTRATAGATTAAATCGAAACTAATTTTTGCTGGTCAGCGGTTATTACCAAAAAAAAGAAAATGCTTAATTAAACCTAAAATATGTCTTTTTTTATATGGCCCCATATCAAATTTTATTGAGCATAATTGGATAAGTTGTTAGGGTAAAAATCGTGCTTTTAACCCAAATCCCACAATCTTGTGAGAAATCCGCCGGACTATATAGAAAAATAGACAAAATGTAAAAATGGAATAATCAAGAACTAATTTAAAAGTTTTAGTAGTCTAGTAATTGATATCACGAGTTCAAACCCGGCTCTATCCAACTCATTGACATAATAAATGTTGACTAGCTGTTTGTTATGATTTCAGTTACACGGTGTACTCTTCAAATGACACCAGCCACGCCCATTAGCTCATCAAGCATCCAGGTACACTGGACACAACAAAGTTCTGAAAAATGTAGAAATGCTGTCCTAGATGGCTACAAAGTAGTATATGGGTTGTGGAATGCAGAAAGGAATAAATACAAAGTTCTAGATGTTACAAATCCCTCTAGTACATCAGCAGTGGTGACAGGACTTGGTACATTCACATGGTATAGATTTCTAGTACAAGCCTACCGCGGTAAACTCGATGGTCCATTATCCAATTGGAAGGCAGCAAGAACTTTAGAAGATGGTAATTTTTTAATACAACTTCGATGTTTGAATTTTGTTTTCATGGAAACCTCCGCATCTAGTATTTCTTTTTTAATTTGTAAAATTTATTAACCCTACATCATCAGTATCGCGCTTATACAAATGATGTTAGTGCGATATAATCGAGACAAAAATCAAATGTATTGCTCCCACGTACAAATACACGTATTTAAACGTTTCCTATATCAATTTTCTGGAACTGTAACATTTTTATTTGAATTGCAACGTTATATATTTTGTTTACTATCTTTTCTTGTCACGAGATTTTGGTCTCCATCTCCGCATAGAAATGAAAACAGTAGGAAAATTGGATAGTTCATAAATAATTTATTTCAGCCGTCAGTCTAGTTGATGAAAAATTAGATAAGCATTAAATAAATATGATTTTTAAATTGGAAAATAAAAGTTAATAAGCAGGACCTAGTGCAACAATTCTGGAATGTATCCAATAATCTATTAGCAATAGATGGTGAATAATACTACATGTTTGAATGAAATATATCATATGTCCAGCGAATTTAATTTATATTTAATCCATGAAAACGAAATTCGTTTACACCTTATAGAAAAATAGACAAAAAAGAAAAACTGGAATAATTAAGAACTAATTTAAAGGTTTAGTAGTCTAGTAATTGATATCACGAGTTCAAACCCGGCCTTTCTATCCAAATCAATGACATAATAAATGTTGACTAGCTGTTTGGTATGATTTCAGTTACACGGTGTACTCTTCAAATGACACMAGCCACGCCCATTAGCTCATCACGCATCCAAGTACACTGGACACAACAAAGTTCTAGGATATGTAGAAATGCTGTCCTAGATGGCTACAAAGTAGTATATGGGTTGGGGAATACAGAAAGGAGGACATACAAAGTTCTAGATGTTACAAATCCCTCTARTACATCAGCAGTGGTGACAGGACTTGCTAGATACACACAGTATGTATTTCTAGTACGAGCCTACCGCGGTAACCTGGATGGTCCATTATCCAATTGGA